GTTTCGGACTAAGATGCTATCTCTATGCAGATGACGTCCAAATCTGTCACTCCTTCTCACCTGTCACTAAGGAGGCTGTCCAGACCTTGAACCGGTGTTTAGCTGCTGTGTCGGACTGGATGAGAGCTAACAAATTGAAACTAAATCCAGACAAGACAGAGGTCCTACTGGTCAGTCGGAAGGCCGAACAGGGTATAGGGTTACAGCCTGTGTTAGACGGGGTTACACTCCCCCTGAAGACGCAGGTTCGTAGCTTGGGAGTAATCCTGGACTCATCGCTGAGCCTGGATCCTCAGGTCTCAGCGGTGGCCGGGAGAGCTTTCGCACAATTAAAACTTGTGCGCCAGCTGCGCCCGTACCTTGGGAAGTCGGATCTGGCCACGGTGGTCCACGCTCTTGTCACATCCCGGTTGGATTACTGCAACGCACTCTACGTGGGGTTGCCTTTAAAGACTGCTCGGAAACTTCAATTAGTTCAGCGAGAAGCAGCCAGATTGCTCACCGGGGCGGCGTACAGGGAGCACACCACCCCCCTGTTGCGTCAGCTCCACTGGCTGCCGATCCAATTCCGAGCACAATTTAAAGTGCTGGTTTTGACCTATAACCCTATACGGTTCCGGCCCAGTGTATTTGTCCGAACGGATCTCCCTTTACGTCCCACCTCGAAGTTTAAGATCTTCTGGGGAGGCCCTGCTCTCGACCCCGCCAGTATCGCAAGTGAGGCTGGCGGGGACGAGGAGCAGGGCCTTCTCAGTGGCGGCCCCCCGCCTGTGGAACGCACTCCCCGGGGAGATTAGATCGGCGACTTCCCTCCTAGCATTTAGGAAAAAACTAAAGACCTGGATATGGGACCAAGCTTTTGGCCACTCTGATAATTAAACCAAGGACCGGAGACAGACAATGACAAACGGAATAGAACGGATGTATGGACTCTGATATATGAACTCTGACATGAGATTGTTTTAGGATTTATGCTTTTATTATGTATTGTTGTTTAACTTAACTGTTGAATTTTATACTTTTGGATTACTTGTTGTGTGTTTTGGGCATCTAATTGTGCCCTTTATGTAAGCCGCCCTGAGTCCCCCCAGGGGTGAGAAGGGCGGGGTATAAGTGAATGAAATAAATAAATAAATAATAAGAGAGGGAATTTAAACACGTATTTATTTATTTATTTATTTATTTATTTAACACATATACAGTCCCTCAGATTTTTGGGGAGCTGAACTATAATTTGGAGGAAAGAAATCGAATGAATTCCTATGCACACTGTGTACATATCTTAATTGGCCCTGCTCACGCTCCCACCTCCTTCGCAGGCGTGATTGGTGGGGACGAGGGAGAGGGTCTTCTTGGTGGTGGTCCCTCAACTTGAATTCACTCCCTAAGAACATCAGACATGCCCCAACGCTGGCAGTCTTTAAGAGGAGCCTGAAAACATGGTTGTTCCAGTGTGCCTTCCCAGTATAAGGAAAACTCTTAGCAATATGTTCTCAAATGCACTTTAATATTGTTTAGGATTGTCTGCACGCCCTCCTCTTTCTTTGAAAACCCTATCCTAGTTTACCCTATCAACACAGGTGGCAACCTGTGTTGGRCAGGGTTGCACTCCCCCTGAAGTCCTTCTGGACTCATCACTTATGCTTGAGGCTCAGGCGTCGGYGGTGGCCGGGAGGGCCTTTGCACAATTAAGACTCGTGTGCCAACTGCGACCGTACCTCGTGAAGGCGGATCTGGCCAGGGTGGTCCATGCCTTAGTCACCTCCAGATTGGACTACTGTAATGCACTCTACGTGGGGCTGCCCTTGAAAACGGCTCRGAAATTTCARTTGGTCCAAYGGGCRGYRGCCAGGTTGTTAACTGGCGCTYCTTACAGGGAGCRGTCAWCCCTCCTGTTTAARGAGCTCCACTGGCTGCCATTTATTTTCCGGACCCAATTCAAGGTGCAGRTTCTTACCTACAAAGCTCTGAAYGGTTTGGGACCTKCCTACCTGYGTGACYGCATTTCTGTGTACGAACCCACACRATCTCTTYGATCATCYKGAGAGGCYCTACTCVYGCTCCCACCTGCRTCGCAARYGCGATTGGTGKGGACGRGAGAGAGGGCCTTCTCRGTRGTGGCCCCTCGWCTCTGGAACTCACTTCCTAAGGACATCAGGCATGCCCCAACTTTGGCAGTCTTTAGGAGGAGCTTGAAAACGTGGTTGTTCCAGTGTGCCTTCCCAGAATAATGAACTCTTAGCATTATGTCCTCTAAAACCACTTTTACTGGCTTGTACATTTCCACCAATGCCCCATCTCCTCTATCWTGTTCATGCCCAGCATTATTTTTTAACTTAATTACATTTGGCCCAGCCATAGATTTTAAATGTGATTTGTGCTATTGTTCAATGTTTATGCTATTTGTGTATGAGATTTACTGGAGCCCCCTGTGTTGGCAGGACTGAAGACCGACAGGTCGCAGGTTCAAATCTGGGGAGAGGAAGATGAGCTCCCTCTATCAGCTCCAGCTCCTCATGCGGGGACATGAGAGAAGCCTCCCACAAGGATGATAAAAACATCAAATCATCTGGGCATCCCCTGGGCAACGTCCTTGCAGATGGCCAATTCTCTCACACCAGAAGTGACTTGCAGTCTCTCTCTTAAAAAGAGAGAGATTTATTTTAATTGCTTTGTATTAGTATTTGTATTTTGCTTTGTATTGTGGTTGTTATTGCTTGTATTGATGTATTGTGGGCTCGGCCTCATGTAAGCCGCACCGAGTCCCTTGGGAGATGGTAGCGGGGTATAAAGTTTTTATGATTATGATTATTATATATCCTATTAAATGACAGTGGGTGCCTGCCATCGTCTACTGACTCAGGGATTCCCCGACCTGGATACCCCTATGTTTGCCAGAATCCAACTGCCCTCACATAGTTATTAGGATTCCAGACCTACGTTAAGCGCCAAACTCCCAAGTTGTGACAAATAATGTGCAGGGAGAAGTATTGGGCAGAACAAACAAATGGGGCACTCTTTTATGTGCTGAGCTGGCCCTTGTCTGAGTCAATGAAAATCCCAAGAACTCCTCGGTTTCATTGGTTGTGATGCCCCATGGAATCCCTGAGTAATCCCCCTCCCAGCTGCAAAGGCTTACTGTGAAAGCCATGTGCTCCACTTAGCCCTTTCCCACTCTCCCAGAAACAAAGGTGCCAGATGATATCGTGGTGAATCCATGGGCTCCTGGTGGGGGGCATGGAGAGCCGTCGCTCCATGTCCTGCATTACGTGACTTGCCTGAGATCTCATCACATGGGGGAAAATGTCACCACCTAGCTTCCCTTCATTGTTGGTAAGACAACATAGGAAGGCTCCTGTGTTGCTGTGGTGGTGGCATAGACTGCTTGTTCTCCCTTTTCTGGATGGAGCTCGACTGGAAGTACACATGCATTGTGTAATGGGCTCCGTCCTTACAGGAAAACAAGTGGTGTAGAATGGGCCAAGTAATCCATTTGATGTGGTTATACATCACTGAGAGAGTATATTAAAAAGGAACCTACCAAAACTGCATCAATATAGCAGACAATGTAGTTCACTTGGAAAAGGCTTTTGTGCATACTCACAAATGTCCATAACAGCCAGGGGCGGCTCGTCCATTATGTGAAGTAAGCGGTCGCAGAACACTTTTTTTTGCCAGGGGCGCAGAGGCGCCTCTGTAAATGCCCCTCGACCGCCACTTGAGGAGCGCCCCCTCAGCTCACAACAGCCCTAGCAGTCCGGGGGGAGCCTCGGCTTTCTTGCCTCGCTGCCGGGCGATCCTCTTCCCAAAGGGGCCGGGCCCTTGAGCCTCGCCTAGCCCCTCTCGTTCCTGCTCCACCCGGCCACCGGGTGCGAGCAGAGCCGGCACTCAGTCATTCTCCACGTTCGATCCCTTCCCCATGACCAGCTCCCTTTCCTGATCCCCCGGCGCTCCACCCGCCTCCTCTCCTCTCCCCAATCCATGGGTGGGCCAAGGGGCGGAGCCACTGCGCCTGGCCCGCTTCGGTTCCAGAGGCATGTCTGAAGACCCCAGCGTGCGCACCAAAAGTCGCCTCTTCTCCTGACTTTCTCTTCAGCCATTGGGACCAAGAGAGAGAGAGAGAGAGAGAGCCCCTCCTGCTGGAGGTATCTCCCACCTCCGCTCCCTCCTTTGTTTTTGCGCCTACCTTCAGGAAAGGTGGGCATCTCCACCTCTGTCTCTCTCTCTCTCTCTCTTGGTCCCAATGGCTGAGGAGAAAGTCAGGAGAAGAGGTGACTTTTGTGCACACGCTGGAGAAAGTCAGGAGAAGAGGTGACTTTTGGTGCACACGCTGGGGTCTTCAGGCACGCCTCCGGACCCAAAGCGGGCCAGGCAAGGGAGCAAATGCAGCAAGTGTAGTTACTGGGATGTATAGTTCACCTACAATCAAAGAGCATTCTGAACTCCACCAATGATGGAATTGAACCAAATATGGCACACAGAACTCCCACGAACAGAAAATATATATCAATGATTGGTTGGGGGGGGGGGGGCGCCAAAATACTGTTTGCTTACCGTTGAAAATTACCTAGGGCCGCCTCTGATAACAGCATTAGTGACTCTTGGGATGTGCAGTCTCCTTCAACTGCACTTATTAATTTCAGGTACCTGTTCTGCAACTGGCAGGCTACAAACACAGAAGGCCACACGTCTCTGGTCAGTCAAGCTCCCAAACATTCCTGCTGCACTAATGCCCCATTATAGAGCCCATGTTCACAGCCCTCTCAAATTTGTGTTCGATTTCATTAGGAAAACATAATTGGAACTGTTTTACTTGTGGCACTGAGGCCTACATTTTAATGTTGCTTTTAACACTGAGTGCCTTGGTACAGAGAGAGAATCTGCAGATGGTGTATATGTGCAAATAATAAGACTCCAGAAACAATATCTGCTATTTTCTTTTTAATTGTGTTGTCATTTTAATTTTTTAAAAGATGACAGGAAAAAATATCAAATGATGATGTAGGTACAAAACTACTCAGCCTGAGGAGACTCAACAGTATGTTTAACAAACAGATTGGTGGACTGCCAAATCAGTGAGGTAATTTCACATGGTCTCCTTCACGTATTCATTCAATTAATACAGTGGTGGTGGTGGTGGTGGTGGGGAAACGGGACCCTTTTAACAAACATGCATGTACACATTTGTGCATGTGAGTATGCCAGGATATGCACATGTATATGCACAATTTCTCTCTGAGACACACACACACAGAGACAAATTATTTTTGCTCAAAGTCCTCAGAATAGAATAAATGAAGGGCATTATGACTTAGGTTTCCATCTCACTTATGGTCAGGTTTAGTTGGGTCTGCCGTTTTCTCACAGATGCTAAACCGGTATCCTAAACAATCAGAAGCAATTAGATTCCCACCCTGAATAGACACACAGATGGGATAATTGCTGGATCCAGCATCAGGAATGTTAAACCTACAAGAGAATGCCATTATTCATTTAGACAGCATTAGAATTTCAGGTCCATGTTGACAAAGATTGCATTTTCTATTTCATCTAATCCCTCCTCTTGAACTGAGACAAGATTCTACATTATTATCAGTAGCTTCCCTCAACTGAATGATGCTATATGTTTTGGAGTACAAAGCCCATTTCCCACTCAGTACATTGGAGATAATGGGAATTGTGATGCAAAACATATGGAGTCATCTTCATGGATAAGATGATCTACAGACTTTGAAATTAGGGACAGTCCGAAGGATGCTGAATGTGTTATGGAAAGAGGGGACATCTGTCTACAGGCCACAGGTTAACATTCATGTATCTCATAATAGATGGGAGCCATATGCAAATGCTTCATTTTTACAAAAAAAAGGCTTTTTGTTTAAAAAAAACCCATAGGTTGACTCTTACAAGTTATAAGGATGTTGAACTCGCACTATATGTGCATATGGTATACCATTGTCTGCCTGCTAATTTCTGTGGGTATGATCAAAAGAGCCACATTTTATTTTCCACTTATGAACTAGGGGATCCAGGTAAATGCCCAGGAGTAATTAAAAAATTGTTCATCCAATTCTTTTTATTACTTTGTTCATCCAATTCTTTTTATTACTTGGCAGTGATAAGCTAATAGCTAAAAGAAGAGAATATTCAAGCATCCTAGTGAGCCAGAAAACCGCATTAAATGCCCAAACAACCTCACAGATGCTGGGGGGGGGGGGGGGGGGGGGGGGGGGGGGGGGGGGGGGATGTGGAAGTTGGTTTTTATCACATATGTGTTTTTAGTATGTTTTAACTTGTGCGTTTTATGTTTTATTGTTGATTTTGTGTATTTATATGCTGTAAACTGCTTTGGGTCCAGCCGCAGAGAAAGATGGGGTAGAAATAACTTAAATAAATAAATAAATAATAGTTCAAGGTGAAAAATCAGTTCAAATTCATAGACAATGCAGCTTACAAAATGCCACTATCATCTTCTCGTCCATGTTTCAGCACTATTTCCAATTTTAATTTTACATTTGGCCTTCCCACAGTTTTAATTGTATGTTGTCTTATTGATCATGTTATATGTTTATTGTCTATGTTCTTATTTTAATTGCTTGTATTGTTGTGATTATTGCTTGTATTGTTGTGTTTGGGCTCGGCCTCATGTAAGCCGCACCGAGTCCCTTGGGGAGATGGTAGCGGGGTACAAATAAAGTGTTATCATTATTCTTATTATTACAAAATAGCATAGCATGAAAATGGCATGATCCTCTAAATCTTGCTGAACAGCAGCTCCCAGCATCCTTATCCTCCAGTGCTTATTATGAGGAATACTGGGAGCTGTCTAAGGGAAAAATCTGGAGGCACTTGTGTTTATCATATAAAATTAGGCAATGTTCATAGAGACAATATCTGTCAGTCATATTATAACATTCTAATTATTAAGGCGAGAATCCTCTTGGAAATTTGTAGTTTTGGGAATCAGAATTGCACAGTTGCAAAACACTCATGGCCCATAGAAGGCTGGTCTTATGTAATTACATAGAGGGGCTAGAAAATGCCTTGATATGGAGGAGGGAGGGTGTTCCAGTGGCCGGGGAGCCCCCATAGAAGTCGTGGTGGGGAGGGGGAGATACGGGAAAGGGAGACCTTTAATTCGGCCTAGGGAACGTGGATCAACATTAGTAATTCCAAAGCGGTCTCCTGATGTGGTAAGTTGGTGTAACCAGGATGGCGGTCCCTCCGGGTTGAAGGTGGTGCTGTTGAACGCCAGATCTGTCAATGGTAAAACAGCTTTCATCCAGGATTTGATCCTGGATGAAAGCGGGGGCAAGATCTGGCGTGCTATTACATATATGAGACCTGGCTGGATGAAGCTTGCGGAGTGAATTTGACGCCAGTCTTTGCCCACCAGGTTTCTCTGGGCAGCACCAACCGAGATCCGGAGGGCGGGGAGGCGGGTTGCAGTGGTCTATAGAGATTCCATTCTTCTGACCAGGGCCCCCATCCCGCAGTCAACAAAATTTGAATGCGTCCACCTGAGGGTGGGTGACCGGGACAGATTAGGGATTCTGTTAGTGTACCGTCCACCTCGCTGCACTACAGACTCCCTGACTGAGCTAGCGGGGGTGGTCTCGGACCTGGCGTTGGAGTCCCAACGGCTACTTGTGCTGGGGGACTTCAACGTCCACGCCGAGGCCATCTTATCGGGAGCGGCTCAGGACTTCATGTCTGCCATGACAACCATGGGGCTGTCCCAACAGGTATCTGGCCCCACCCACAGTGCTGGACATACATTGGACTTGGTTTTCTGCCAGCGATGGGAGGAAGGTGGCGGTGTTGAGGAGTTATCCATCTCTCCGTTGCCATGGACCGACCACCACCTGGTCAGATTTAGACTTACTGCACCTCCCAACCTCCGCAGAGGTGGGGGATCCATTAAGTTGGTCCGCCCTAGGAGGCTTATGGATCCAGATGGATTCCTGATGGCTCTTGGGGAGTTTCCCGCTGCCTCAGTAGGTGATCCTGTTGATGCCCTGGTCACTCTCTGGAATGGGGAGATGACTAGGGCAATTGACACGATCGCTCCGGAACGTCCCCTCTCAAGTAGCCGAGCTAAACCAGCCCCTTGGTTTACTGAGGAGCTGGCAGTGATGAAGCGAAGGAAGAGGGAACTAGAGAGCGTGTGGCGTTCGGATCCAAGCGAGTCAAACCGAGCACGGTTTGTGTCCTTTCTTAGGGCATATGCCGCGGCAATAAAGCCGCAAAGAAGACCTTCTTTGCGGCCACTATTGCGTCTGCAAAGAACCATCCGGCAGAACTGTTCCGAGTTGTCAGAGGCCTGTTAAAGCCCACCATGCAGGATGGGTGCCCTGATGACTCGGCAGCTCGCTGTGAAGCCTTTGCTCAGTTCTTTGCAGACAAAGTCGCTTTGATCCGCTCTGGTCTGGATACCATATTAACGGCAGTCTCTGAGGATGTAACACGAGCATCTGCTTGTCCGGTTTTGATGGATTCATTTCAATTGGTTCAATCCGAGGATGTGGACAAGGTGCTTGGAGGAATGAGAGCTACCACATGCATCCTAGACCCCTGCCCATCCTGGCTTCTAGAGGAGGCCAGAGGGGGGATTGGCCGAGGGGAGATGAAGCTGTGTTTATATGTCACCAATGCCTCCCTTAAGTCCCTCGTGTAAAATACGGGCATATTCGCAGCAGCTTAAAGGGCAAGCTGTGATAAAACCGGCTGTGTTGAATCAAAACCTATCACTGACTGCGCCACTAGATTCGTCAAAGCTAATCCGCCTGCGCTGCTTTTGTCCATATTCATCGTCGCGTGCTTGGCTCGTTTCAAAGTCCTGGAACGTGTGGTGGCGCTCAGCAACTCCAGCATTTCTTGCGTTATTAAGGTGCGACTATTAGCGTGGATACCCGTGGCACAGTCTGGCTTTAGGCCGGGGCATGGTACCGAGACAGCCTTGGTCGCCTTAGTGGATGATCTGCGCCGGGAGCTCGACAGGGGGAGTGTGTCCCTGTTGGTGCTGCTGGACCTCTCAGCGGCCTTCGATACCGTCGACCACGGTATCCTTCTGGGACGCCTCGCGGGAATGGGTCTTGGAGGAACTGTTTTACAGTGGCTCCGCTCATTCCTTGAGGGTCGGTCTCAGAAGGTGTTACTGGGAGACTCCTGTTCAACCCCACAACCTTTGTCTTGTGGGGTTCCTCAGGGTTCAATATTGTCTCCCATGTTGTTTAACATCTACATGAAGCCGCTGGGTGAGATCATCCGGAGTTTCGGGGTGCGATGTCATCTGTACGCGGATGATGTCCAACTCTGTCACTCCTTCCCACCTGTCACTAAGGAGGCTGTCGAGGTCCTGAACCGGTGCTTGGCCGCTGTGACGGTCTGGATGGGGGCGAACAAATTGAAATTGAATCCAGACAAGACAGAGGTACTCCTGGTCAGTCGCAAGGCCGAACAGGGTATAGGGTTACAGCCTGTGTTGGATGGGGTCGCACTCCCCCTGAAGACGCAGGTTCTCAGCTTGGGTGGATCCTGGTACTCATCGCATGATGCCTGGTAAATCGCCAGGTTTCGGGCGGTGGACGGCTAGGGAGCATAAAATCGGCACTAGTTAAAAAATCTCGTGTCGCCAACTGGCGGGCCCAAGTAGGCCGATTTGGAATCTGACTTGGCCAGGCGGGTAAGTTCGCTAGCCCATCAAGGGCTGCTGGTTACATGCTTACCGTTTAGTACTTACTGGCACGCTCTCTGACTTGGGTTGCCTTTGAATGAGCGGTCTCGTAAGCTCGGCCGAGAATTAGTTCCTACTGCAGGTAATCATGGGGAAGACAGGGCCTTATGATACTAACTGAGTAGGCGGAGCGCAGGAGCACACTATACTCCTCTGCTGGTCGCGGGTCTCAGCTCCATCCGGGCTTGGCCGATTTGGCGAAAAAAAGCCACGGGCTCATTGCGAAGTGCATGGCGTTGGACTTTTAGAAGAGCGCGTTTAATCCAGCTCCACTGGCTGCCGATTTGCTACCGGGCTCAATTCAAAGTGCTGGCGCTGGCCTTTAAAGCCCTAAACGGTTCTGGCCCAACCTACCTATCCGAACGTATCTCGGCCTATCAGCCCACCAGGACCCTAAGATCTTCTGGGGAGGCCTTGCTCTCTATCCCGCCTGCTTCACAGGTGCGGCTGGCGGGGACGAGAGACAGGGCCTTTTCTGTGGTGGCCCCTCGGCTCTGGAACGCCCTTCCCATGGAGGTAAGATCAGCCTCCTCGCTGATGGTATTCCGAAGAAGACTAAAAACTTGGATGTTCAAGCAGGCATTTGGTTAATTCGGTGCAATGAATGTGTTGATTACGGATTGGTAATATGGATGATGCAATTGGACCACGATTTTAGTTAGGAGATGTATTGGATTGTGATTTACGTGTAATATTGTGTATTATGTTTTTTATGGTTTTAATTGTATACTGTGCACTGTATATTTTGTTGTAAACCGCGTTGAGTCGCCAGTTAGGCTGAGAAACGGCGGTATACAAGGACAGTAAATAAATAAAAAATAAATAAATAAATAAATAAATAAATTGATATGTGTTGATGCTCAAATGCACATCACATCAGCCCTGTATTGAGCACCAATGCACATAAGATACAACCCCATTACGCATCTTCACAATTCAGTGAAAGGATATTGTAGTGCCTCTGCTATGTAGATAGGGATACATAATATTACATAATATAACAAGCCATATAAGATTTCAGCAAAACAATGATTTCTGAGGGGGATGTCTTCTAATATTTAAAATAAGGGAAGGAAGAAATCCCAAATAACTACATGCAAATAAACCTTGGAGAGGGTATGGGCTTTAGATGTTTTTGGAGAATGTGTGGACTTGAGATAAACATATATTTTTTCACCATGGGCTAGGCTGACCTGGGATGATAGGAAAATCTGGTGTGCCACAAGTTGCCCATGCCGGATATAGATCCTAGAAGCATCAAAACTATAATAAAATGGCAGATCAGCATTATTAAAATCTCATCTCATCCTTCTGAATTGCCTTTTTTAAGCACACTTACAAGTCAGTGATAAAGGTACTGTTGTCCTCCCATAACCAAGGTCCTTCAACTCTGCGGCGGAATAAACCAATCCAGTAAGAATTATAGGGCTGTGCTGATTCAAGAATAAACTCCTGGATGGAAACACAAGAATGCCCCAAGTCATTCCCATCTGTGGACTCCAAGAGATTTGGGTCAGAAATGTGTATAATCAGAGGTCTTTCGTGTGATATTGTAGTGTTATGATTCAACTTTAACTGACATGGTATCATTCCATGGAATCCTGTAATTTGTTGTGGAGAGGGGCATATATAATCTTGCAAATCCTTTACTTCTGTAGGATGCAGCCATAGCAGTAGAAATGGAATCATAGGGCTACCATTGTATAGTTAGAAAAGATTCCAAAGCAGCTTTTTGAGGAAATGGGGTAAAATCTCTACTAGAGGCAGCATCGCTGTTTGCCATTTGGAACAATCATAAAACCTCCCCACCCCCTGCCCCCCTTTAACTCCTCTCTCTGCTTGGCACCCAATATTCAGTCCAATAGAAAATAATTTCATTACACTGTATATAGCAACGGACTAGCATCCTATGAGACATAGCTGCTCAGCTTCTTGCGGGAATTCCGATGAGATGCCACATAACACCAATCTTACTACAGCTGCATTGGTTACCAATTGATCACTTTCAAAGTGATGGTACTCACCTTTAAAGCCTTGCATGGTCTGGGGCCGATGTACCTGAGGGACCGCCTCACCCCCTACCAACCCCAGAGATCCCTCCGTTCTGAGGACCAAGATCTATTGGAAATTCCCAGTGTCAAGACCTTGCGTCTAACAGCAACCAGACGCAGAGCCTTTACAGCAGTGGCACCATCACTCTGGAATACTCTGCCACCTGAAGTCCATGCCTTGCGGGACCTATCAGCTTTCCGCAGGGCATGTAAGACATACCTGTTTCGACAGGCCTTTGATTTTTGATACTGCTGTTTTTAAATTGTTTTAAATTGTTTTTAAATTGTGTTAGATTTTAGCCATTCTTGTAAGCCGCTCCAAGTGGCGGCATATAAGTTCGAATAATAAACAAACAAACAAACAAACAAACAAATAAATAAATAATTGTCACAATTGTAAATGCCCTCCAACCCCACCTTGAAATCCAGGCAGCCACATGGAGGAATGGAATGGAACAGCACTGGCATTTCAGGTGATGAAGAATGATGTACCCAACCTCCTTCCAGTAATCAGCCATGGTACAATGTAGAATTGTGGAAGGACCCTACAGGACACCTGCTTTTGCTCATTGCACTATCGCTCATTGGTAAAAGACATCCTGTACATCACAGAACTCTGTCTCTCAATGCAGTTGCCTGGATTTTAAAGTGGGCTTCAGGAGTCAGATCAGGAAACAGATTATTGCCACAACATCATAGGTATATGTTTGATCCTTGATCTTGGCCTGTATTACTTTATATAACAAATACATTTCTTCTTCTTCTAGCTGTACCTTTGGCAATCCATTACACTTGTGTCATCTTTTGCCGCAGCTACTGTAGCCTGTTTTCCATTCTCTGCTCCCCTCTCTTGAATAGGTATCTGCTGCCAAGATCATTCATCCCCATCATCTTCTGTCATTCTTAATACTCTATTCTAGATTCCAACTTTAGACCTTACTTATCTTTGAAAGCATTGCTTCCTATTATATCTCTATCCTTCAGGGCTTCAGAAACTTATTTTTGACAAGAAATCCAAGAGTCACTGAGCCAGCATAGCCATCGGATGTTGACACTTGCAAATGTTTCCTAATTTGCTCCCATTCTCAACATATCCTGGCCCATAACTTTTGTTCCTCCAGCTGTACTGAAGAAGGTGGGATTTTATAAATGTGAATTTTATAAGAATAAAGTTTTGAGAAAAGGTTAAAGAGAGGGGAGATGAAGTGAAAGAGTGAAGAAGCTGGAAAAAGATAGGGGAAATTAGAAGTGTGTGAAAGCTGAAGAGAAAAGAAAGGGAAAACCACAGGAAGAGAGGAAGTTCAAGATTGGAAAACAGGATTGTTTTGGAACAGAGAACCAAAAAATGAAGTGAAGGACAAAACTGGGAGGGAGAAGTGCAGACAGGAAAGAGGGAGAAGTTTGTGTGTGTGTGTGTGTGTGTGCATGTTTGCTTTACTCCACTCTGGTCAACTATAAAGCCCATGATGTAGAACAGTCAAATGTGGCACTTTTGTTCCTGTTGCACACCCAATAGTATATTTTGCAAATTTTACTATCGTATTTTAAATCTCCTCAATTCTAGTATATGATTGGAATATAGATACTAGGGATTTTGGGGGCATTGAACCTCAACACTACCATCAATGACCATATCAACATCTGCTTCCTGAAATGATGCTATCATTTATTCTTTGCTGACCCTTCAGATTAAAACCATATTCCTCCTCAAATTACACTTCCCATGAAACCTTTTTGCTGGTTTGCAAACATATCACAAGCATATACAAATGGTGCTCAGGGTGGCAAATGAACACAAGAGCTGGGCATGTGACAGCTGGGCTTTCTAACCATTTGAGTTTGGATGCCTTTAACTTATGAGTCCTGGTCTTCTTAACCTAGTGTAACTAAACAAATATGTGTCCAAAATATGAAACAGGGTCTTTACCAGTTCTTCCTTACTCTCTATTTTAAGAAACCTGGAGTTAAGAGTAATGCACTGAGATTTGCCTTCGTCCCAGGTGTTCCACTTGGTTGAAAAGAAATAGCAGTTGTTTCCACGCTGAAGCCACTTTTCTGGGCAAGGGCTGCATTGGCGGCCTGTGAAATATAATGAAACAAAAGACTGTGTTCATTTATCCAAGCACAGCAACATCAGCAGTTACAACTCTCCTGAAAATTTAATGAAAGAGCAGAGATGATCAAAACACATGTACTGGCATGAAGTGATTTGGTGGATATTTTGAATTTAGAAAAGTTCACCAGCTGATGTACAACTCTCTTGTTTTGATTTCATTTTCTGGAATACAGTGGTGCTCCCACAAAGAATTTTCAGAATACACATCCAAACCCTAAACTCTATTGTTGATTACCTCTGTGGTTTGACAGTTGTTGGACAGTCTCTGAAAGGTTTAGATTCTGGGCTTGGAGAACATTCAGCTCTGTGAGAAGATTTTCAAGCATCTCTTTCTGCAAGGTCAGGTTCTCCTTCTGACTGCTCACTATCTGTGATGCCTGCATAGCTTCAAAAACCATATCAAAGTTACAATGAGCTTTCCCATAGAAGCAACAGTAGCAACATCAAATTCTTGAGCCCTACAAGGTCATCAAGGCAATCTTCATGCCTGAGGGACAGCACAATGTGTCAAAATGAAAGCACTTCATCTAATCCGCATCTCATTGTTCTGCAGCTACCCCTCCCAAGTCAACACAAACGATTTGATTATCCACCTTCTCTTCCACCTCCTTACAAATTGGAAGGGAAGGTGGAGAAGAATAAAAAAGAAAGATAGTTCTGAAGTGGGGAGGGAATTGAGAGAGAGCATACAAGGACATGAAAGAAATAGAGATGTGTTTTAAGGAGACAAAGTTGCAATGCCTAAGAAAGAGAACACTCAGAGCATCAAGAAGACAGGGTAACTGCTTGGGCATAGTAAGATTTGAAGTGGTGGGGAAATGCAGAACCCTATCTGCACCGACAACATAATCTGGCCTGAAGATTGGCCAGATTATGGAGGCCCCTTGGTGCGGTCCTCGAAGTTAAGGTGTTCTGATAATGGATGACCTCCCTCCCCATACCAATGTGAGCTACAACTCAAATCCAACCTGAAACAGCATGATATAAAGATTTCCCAGAAATCCCAATCCAGCTCAAAGATTCAATGAATCCCTCCTGTGTCTGACCAAGACATAGGAAGGACCGAATGCAAAAGATGAAGTTGTATGGTGGGAGTGCAGTATTATGCAGCAGGTTTCTAGCATATGATTTGAAGGCAATTTTGCTGTTTCTTGGCAGGGGGTTGGACTGGATTGCCCACAATGTTTCTTCTCCTGCCCTGTGGAATTTTATGTGTTTGATGTTTGTTTGATTTTATATTGCTGTGTTGTTGTTATATATATATATATATGGTTTTTGCATTTTATGTTTTGTGTATTCTGTGTTTATTGTGTTTGATGGGCGTGGCCTCATGTAAGCCGCCCTGAGTAGTGAAGTAATAAAACCGGGTGGGGGAAAACAAATACCACTTGGTGGTGGTCTCCTCCTTGCCGCCTCCGCTGCTCCCCTCTCCTTCCTTGGAGAGGGCCGCGCCGAGGCCCCCCCTCCTCTTCCTCTTCCTCCTCCCCTTCCTCGGAGGACCCTTGGGCACCGTTGACACCACTGCCAGGCTGGGCTGAGGCCTGGTCTTCTGTGCTCGGTGCTGAGGCCTCAGCCCAGCCTGGCAGTGGTGTCAAAGGCACCCAAGGGGCCTCCGAGGAAGAGGAAGAGGAAGAGGAGGAAGGGAAACCTTGGCACGGCCCTCTTCAGCGGCAGCCTCCTCCTCCTCTCCATCCCCGCTGCTCCCCACTCCTTCCTCGGAGAGGGCAGCACCAAGGCTCCCCCCTCCTCCTCCTCTTCCTCCTCCTCTTCCTTGGAGGCCTCTTGGTGCGGTCCTCTCTGAGGAAGGAGAGGAGAAGGAGGAGGCCTTGGCCCAGTCTGGCAGTGGGGGCCTCGGCCCAGCCTGGCGGTGGTGTCAATGGCTCCCAAGGGGCCTCTGAGGAGGAGGAGGAGGAGGAGGGGAGGTTGAGTCAGGTGCTGGGCCTTGCCCTGGAGCTTGTCTCCGGGCTGGGCCTCGGCGCAAGCCCTCTTTGGCGGCAGTATCCTCCTCGCTGCCTCCGCTGCTCCCCACTCCTTATTATTTTTTATTTATTTATTTAGAACTTTTATATACTGGTCTTCTCGACCTCCGGAGAGGGACTCAGGCCGGTTTACAACAAAGATTCATAAACAATAGTTTAAAACATCACACCCCATAATACATTAATACATAAAATACATTAAAAAGCAATCATATAATTACATAAGGCCAAGTTGTCAAAATGAAATCACTATTCATCCCCATCTGTCCGTGTGGTCAGGAGTTATTGACTCACTCATCAAATGCAAGATTCCAGAGCCAAAGTCAGGAGAGAAGGGGCAGTTCTAATCTACAGTGAGAGAGAGTTCCAGAGCCGAGGGGCCGCCACCAAGAAGGCCCTGTTCCTTGTCCCCACCAGACGCAATTGTGAGGGTGGTGGGACCGAGAGCAGGGCCCCTCCAGAAGATCTTAACAACCTTAATGGTTCATAGGGGAGAATCTGTTCGGAGAGGTAAACTGGGCCGGAGTCGTTTAGAGATCTATAGGTCAACACCAGCACTTTGAATTGTGCTCGGAAGCTAATTGGCAGCCAGTGGAGCTGGCGCAACAGAGGAGTAGTATGCTCCCTGTACCCTGCTCCTGTTAGTAATCTGGCTGCCGCTCGTTGGACTAATTGCAGCTTCCGGGCAGTCTTCAGAGGCAACCCCATGTAGAGAGCATTGCAGTAGTCTATACGGGATGTAACCAGAGCGTGGACCACCGTGGCCAAGTCAGACTTCCCAAGGTACGGGCGCAGCTGGTGCACAAGTTTTAATTGTGCAAAAGCTCCCCTGATCACTGCCGAGACCTGGGGTTCCAGAGAAGGCTGCACTGAGGCTTCCCCTCCCCCTCCTACTTTTCCAAGGAGCCTCTGAGGAAGAGGAAGAGAAGGCCCTCTCCAAGGAAGGAGCAGGGAGCAGCGGAGGTAGCTAGGAGGAGGAGGCTGCCGCGAAAGAGGGCTGCTCCAAGGCCCAGCCCGGAGACAAGCCCCAGGGTAAGGCCCAGCACCTCTTCCTCCTCATCCCTACTTTGTGGAATTTCACTTATTGCGGGTGGTCATGGAACATAACACCCATGATAAATGAAGGAACACTGTATGCATTTTCATATAAAATGTGGTTTGGGTACATACTGATAATGTAAAACCAATAGGAAGCCATGTAATCATTTTTGGTCACTTCCTTAGTTGCTTGTGCTACTTACCCATGAATCCCAGAGTTCCAGCTGTTCCAAGCAGAACCAAGCAGAAGATCGCAAGCGAGATTGCTGCTGATCGCCAATGGGGTTTCGTTGGGGAAGATGCTAGATTAAAGCAAGGAAACGGCATATATAAATAGAAATCTCTATTTCAGGACAAGACAGACAAATGTTGTTATATTTATTTATTTGTTGTTATATTTATCTGTACCTCACTTTTTCTCAGAATAGAAACACAAAATGGCTCAGAACTATAGAGTCAAAAACCTACTAATTTATTTGTAGGGAATTAAATATTATGATTATTAAAGCAACTAAGTCAAAATACCATTAAAATAACACTCTTGGCTATCACAAAAACCTGGGTCTCCACGTTCAATTGGGAGTCCAGGAGTACTATGTCTTGTTTAGATCAAGTTTCAATTTGATTTCCCTCATCCAATCCATTACTGATGACAGGTACTGATTTAGGATCAAGGCAGCCTCCTTGGCTTGGAGTGAAAACGACTTGAGTGTCATCTACATATTGATGGTTCCGCATCCCTAAACTTTGAATGAACTCTTCCAACAATAACATAAGCAATTAATGACTAGATTTGGTATCAGAAAAATGCTGATTTTGACCTTAAATGTCACATTGGACAAGATCACCCTATAATGCAGTGGTTCTCAACCTTCCTAATGCAGCGACCCATTAATACAGTTCCTCATGTTGTGGTGACCCCCCAGTCATAAAATTATTTTAGTTGCTACTTCATAACTATAATTTTGCTACTGTTATGAATTGTAAATATCCAATATGCAAGATGTATTTTCATTCACTGGACCAAATTTGGCACAAATACCCCATACACCCAAATTTAAATACTGCTGAGGTTGATTTTGTCGTTTGGGAGTTGTAGTTGCTTGGATTTATAGTTCAATCAAAGAGCATTCTGAACTCTACCAACAATTGAATTAAACCAACTTGGCACACAGAACTTCCATGACCAACAGAAAATACTGGAACGACTTGCTGGGCATCGTCCTTGAGTTTTGGAGTTGTAGTTCATCTACATCCAGAGACCACTGTGGACTCAAACAATGATGGATATGGACCAAACTTGGCACAAATACTCAATATGCCCAAATGTGAACACTGGTGGAGTTAGGGGAAAATAGAGCTTGACATTTGGGAGATGTAGTTGTTGGCACTTATGGTTCACCTACAATCAAAGAGCATTCTGAACCCCACCAATGATAGAATTGGGCAAAACTTCCCACACAAAATCCCCATGACAGAAAATACTGTGTTTTATGATAGTCTTTAGTGACCCCTCTGACAACCCCTCACGATCCCCCCAGGGGTCCCGGTCTCCAGGTTGAGAAACACTGCCCTAAGGAGACAACAAAGGTTCTTAAATATTAATAAAGAAATACAGAAATCATTAATCAATCTTTGTTTTAAAAAACAACAACAACCACTGATTAACCTCTTCTTTGGGCTGGTCAAAACAAATGTAAGTCATGAGATGTTTCCCTTTTTTGGACTCCTTTGAAAAAGTTCCAAAAAAGCTACAGAATGATGACTACTTAGTGATATGGATTGGATACAATGAGTGTGCCTTACGTTTTCCATCATAGCTATTCAGAACCTCTCCTTATTGCTTTTTGAAATTTAAAGGAAACCCTCCCACTGAACTGCACATGATCCTTCAGCTTTAAAAGTTTCACAATTTTGTACTGCATGGGAGGGTAAAGAAATAATGTTAGCTCATGAAGCAAAAGTGAAGGGGGGGGGGAGAAAATGTGTGTGTGTGTGATTCTAAAATATTATCTTTTGACAATAATAAGATTTTATTTTACTGACAAATAAAATGATGAACATTTGACAAAGCTTATTGTCTCTGTTTCAGAATCTGTCTGTTCTTGTTATATCAAGATACATCCTCCATGCAACAAGACTTTTTTTTGTCATGTCAGGAGTGACCTGAGAAACTGCAAGTCGCTCCTGGTGTGAGAGAATTGGCCGTCTGCAAGGATGTTGCCCAGGGGACGCCCTGATGATTTTTTGATGTTTTATCATCCTTGTGGGAGGCTTCTCTCATGTCCCTGCATGAGGAGCTGGAGCTGATAGAGGGAGCTCATCCGCCTCTCCCCGAATTCGGACCTGTGACCTGTTGGTCTTCAGTCCTGCCGGCACAGGAGTTTAACCCACTCCGCCACCGGGGGCTCCTGCAACAAGATTGACTGGTCTTTAATAAAGCCTATATTTTAAAAATTCCTGCAAGGCCCATTGATAAGATTTATCTAAGGAAAGAAACAAGAAATTGATAAGATTCCATGCTATTAATGATCTGTAATTAATGAGGTAAATGTTTCAAATAGTTTAACGATGCAGTATGACCCTCATATCCAAAGGAGATACAGTAATATTCTGAAATAATTCTTAATTCTCTCATGCTGCTTGATTATCATCACATATGATGAGAGGTCTCCCACCCTCAAAGAAAAGAAAATATAGGAAATTCACTCCTGGGAGAGTTAACAGGGGGGAAACGTGCCTTCCCTGAAGCTTTATCACCAATCTTTGTTTCCACAACAAGCCATTTTTTTCAAAATTCAATTATCACAGGGACAGAAAATGAGGTGAAATCTTCTGAACAAACACAGACAGCAAAATAAACACCACAGGGGTGTTAACCTATGCAATCCAAAGCTATATCTATATACACATGGTTGGAATTACAATTTAAAATGCACCTGTTCTGACTTATATACAAATTCAACTTAAAAACAAACCTTCAGAACCTATCTTGTTCTTAACTTGGGGACTGCCTGTATTTAACAATTTGCCAAATTACCTTTGCTTTTGGTTTGGTGGAACTCATCCTTTTTGTTCTGCTGCAGTGTAATGAACTTCAGATCAGCATAAGTGACTTCTTCAGCCATCTCTAGCATGATTTCACAGGAAACTCACCAGGGATAGAGCCGGACTAGTAGTTTATAGTCATGTGAGAATGATACAGATGTGGAATCTGTGATCTGTTTGAGACACTCATGTTCTCCCAAAGATAGGAAATAAAGAAAGAGTAGAAATGAAGGACTGTGGGTGTCTTTTATTCTGAAATATCAGAGAGAGGTTGAAAAAGTGACTAATACTGAAAGTTTATTCCCCCCTCCCCCCCCCTCTGCCACACAGTGTTGTTTGGGGGGCAGGAAAGAGGGACTGGGGTTGGACTCCTGTGGTGCTTTAACTGCTGGAATAAAGAAATATGGTAGATTGGCAGGTAAGTAAAAATAATGACATGAACAGTGGAGATGTCATTAACTGGTTGGGCAAAAACATCTGGGATAGCTCTGCTGACCATAGAGCAAAATACGTTAACACCAAAAATGGACAAAACATCCACAAACATACAAGATGTATGATGCAAGCCTTCTGAGTTTCACAAGCTTCTTCATCAGGTGTACAAAAATAATACAGGGGAGGAAGAAAATGCTGATATTAGATACACAGGTTTACATTTTGTGAACACTGGTGGAGTTTGGGAAAATAGAATATTGACATTTGGGAGTTGTAGTTGCTGCGATTTATAGTTCACCTACAATCACAGAGCATTCAGAACCCCACCAGTAATAGAATTGGGTTAAACCTCCCACACAGAACCCCCATGTAGGCCACAGCAACGTGTGGCAGGGGACGGCTAGTGACAACAATAAAAACAGCCCCTCTTTTACATTTTTAACAAAACAATCAGGATTTTATGCCCTATATTTATACTGGGGAAAATGGAAGGAAAAAGGACGAGGGGCCGACCAAGGGTAAGATGGATGGATGGTATTCTTGAAGAGAGACTTATTTTGCATAGAATTATGGAAAAAAATAGACCCATGTCTGATTCCACAGCAAGCTGGCTTCAGGAAGGGCAAAAGCTGCACATCGCAAGTGCTGAACCTGATTCAGCACATAGAAGATGGCTTTGAAAGGCAGCAGATCACAGGAGCTGTCTTCATAGACCTGTCAGCACCTTATGATACTGTAAATGTAGAATATCACAAAGGACTACCACCTCACCTGCCTCATAGGAAACCTGCTACAAAACAGGAGCTTTTTGTTGAGCTCCAGGGCCAGAGAAGCAGATGGCGGAGACAGAAGAACGGCCTGCCTCAGGGGAGCGTGTTTGCTCCATCAATGTTCAATGTACACAAACAACGAGCCACTGCCAGAAGGGACAGAGAGTTTCATCTGTGTGCCATTACCGCCCAAGCAGGAAGCTTTGAGGTGGTTGAACAGAAGCTCTCCCAAGCTCTAGGTGCCCTTACTACCTATTACAGGGGAAACCAGCTGATTCCTAATCCATCTAAAACACAGACATGTGCTTTTCACCTCAAGAACAGACAAGCATCCCGAGCTCTGAAGATCACCTGGGAAGGAATCCCACTGGAGCATTGCAGCGCACCCAAATACCTGGGAGTCACTCTGGACCATGCTCTTACCTACAAGAAGCACTGCCTGAACATCAAGCAAAAAGTGGGTGCTAGAAAAAATATCATATGAAAGCTGACTGGCACAACCTGGAGATCACAACCAGACACAGTGAAGACATCTGCCCTTGCGCTATGCTACTCTGCTGCTGAGTATGCATGCCCAGTGTGGAACACATCTCACCACGCTAAAACAGTGGATGTGGCTCTTAAGGAGACATGACGCATTATCACGGGGTGTCTGCGCCCTACACCTCTGGAGAAATTACACTGTCTAGCCGGTATTGCACCACCTGACATCCGCTGGGAAGTAGCAGCCAATAGTGAAAGGACCAAGGCAGTGACATCTCCAGCTCATCCCTTGTTTGGGTATCAGCCAGCATAGCGCAAGGGCAGATGTCTTCACTGTGTCTGGTTGTGATCCCCAGGATGTGCCAGTCAGCTTTCGTATGATATTGTTTCTAGCCCCACTTTTACATTTTTAACAAAACAAACAAACAAACAAACAAACAAACAAACGGACAAAACACAAAGTTTGCAAGCTTGGTAGTTGATTAAATGTCCTTTGACCAGTATCTGGCCACTTGGAGTGCCTCTGGTGTTGCCGCAAGGAGGTCCTCCATTATGCATGTTTTGTTTGTTTGTTTGTTTTGTTAAAAATGTAATACAATTGTCTGGTTGCTCCTGACACGATAAATAAAATATCCTTGAAGTAACTGGCTCGACCTTGAAGGAACTGGGGGTGGTGAAAGCCGACAGGGAGCTCTGTTGTGGGCTGGTCCATGAGGTCACGAAGAGTTGGAAGCGATTGAACGAATGAACAACAAATACCAGAAGGTAACTGAGATATTTACTGAAATTTACTGTAATTTACTGGTTTATTTTATTTTTCGTGTCAGTAGCAACCAGACAATTTTGGACTCTCGCTTGCTGAGGTGTTCCAGCAAGTGTCTCTGTAGAGCTTAGAAAACTATTTCTTGATTTAAGTCGTTGACGTGCTGGCTGATACCCAAACAAGGGATGAGCTGGAGATGTCACTGCCTTGGTCCTTTCACTATTGGCTGCTACTTCCCGGAGGATGTCAGGTGGTGCAATACCGGCTAAGCAGTGTAATTTCTCCAGTGGTGTAGGGCGCAGACACCCCGTGATGATGCGGCATGTCTCATTAAGAGCCACATCCACTGTTTACTGGTAACCCTGTCACAAAGGATGTTTGACCTATTAGCCTTGGCCTAGCCTGAGCCTTGCTTGAGGCATAAACTAATGACTTAGTTGTTTCCTACACCAGTCAATGACTCTCAAACAAAGGGATTCCAAGGCCTTTTATCCAAGACTAGCAAAAGGGGAAATGCCAAGTTAATAGTATTTTATAACATTGCCCATATTTCTGAAATCCCATATTTCCTGCCCACTCTTGCTTTTCTGTATAATCTTTGACTCACCTTTGCTGATAATCTACACATACACACACATATAGTCTTTTCACATCTTAAGCCCTGATTTGTTTCCTTTTTCCCCTTTACCATTCATTTCAACTTTCTCTCCCATCCTATAACTACCATTTCATGATCCCCTATCTCTCCCCATAATCCTGGCCCCAACTGTGCTGTTTTATCCTAGGCTGGGTCCTCATAGACCCACTGATTCCCCCCCCCCCCCCTTATGTGCATGTCTCCCTTCCCAGGTTTTCCTTACTATTCGCTTATTTTCCTTACCCATAAGATGACTTAGGGAGATAGGAGCCCCTCGGAAGCCTTATGGACCCCAAAAGCCCCTCCGTATTCAGGGGTCAAACAGTACTAGGACCCTTGTGTGTGTATGTATGTATTAATATTTTATATTTTTATGATTATATAAAATACTTTTGGAGCCATGGATGCATCGTGAAGACCCTGGTGACCTTTCACTGGTAATACATGTCCTGGATTCTTCATGTGTCTTCCTGGTCTTCACTTAAACAAAGACCAAACTTGGCACACAGAGCCCCCATGACCCACTCTGCATCCTGCTGCAGTTTGGAGGAGGGTGGACCATGGATGATGGGACTTGAAGTACCTCCACTCACTTCCCGAGACCGCTGCGACCCTCATCCAATGACTGATCAAGACCAAACTTGACACACATTACCCCCATGACCCCCCTTTACATCCTGGTGAGGTTTGGGCATGAGCCACTCTCCATCCTGGTACAGTTTGGAGGAAGATGGACCAAAGATGATGGGACTTCAAGTACCTTCACTCACTTCCCGAGACTGCTGTAACCCTCATCCAAAGACTGATCAAGACCAAACTTGGCACACAGAGCCCCCATGACCCACTCTACATCCTGGTGCTGTTTGGAGGAGGATGGACCATGGATGATGGGACTCACAGTACCCTCACTAACTTCCTGAGACCACTGTGAGCCACATAAATAACTGATAAAGACCAACCTTGACACACAATGCCTTTTTCAAATAACCCGGGCACCACTGGGTCCCCAAGCAAGTATTATATAAATCCTGGTATTTAAACCTATTTATTATTTATTTATTTATTTCGAGGTTTTATATACCGACCCTCTCACCTTCAAAGAGGGATTCGGACCGGTTCACAACATGTGTTAACATACAAAGAATATACAATAACAACACAATGCCACTTCATTACACGATTAAAATATCAGCACCATACACATTAAAACATTATCATCACAGTTAAAAGAGCCAAATCGTCCAACACCATCACAATCCCATTCATCATCCTCCTTTCATGTGGGCAAAGAATTAAATCAGTTGTCAAATGCCGCGTTCCACAACCAGGTCTTTGTTAGTTTCCTGAACGTCATGAGGGAGGGGGCGGTTCTGATCTCTAATGGCAGGGAGTTCCAAAGTCGAGGGGCCACCATCAAGAAGGCCCTGTCCCTCGTCCCCACCAGCCGTACTTGTGCAGGCGGTGGGACCGAGAGCAGGACCCGTCCAGACGATCTTAGTGGTCTTGATGGTTCGTAGGGGAGAATACGTTTGGAGGTGAAAACTATTTCACACACACAAACACAAATTGAATACCGTCTTGCAAGTTTGTTCATTGCACAATCTGTAATAAGAGTCATGAATGTTTTGTTAAATAATTCACAGTAGCTTTTTCCAGTTGCAATCATTCCAAAAATCTAAATCTATTACTTGTGCCATTTAGAAAGAATCAATGATGCTTATATTCTCGGTTTCAATAATATTTATTGAAGAGATTTTCTATATTTACAAACATTCATATCAAAACACTTCAAAACACATCAAGAGTATAGTGACTTATTAATCTAACATCATTCCTTTTACAATACTCCTTTAGATTTTGTTATCACTACATCCCTATTCTTCACATAGATTCAAATTACACCTTAATATGTGTTATTCTTCACTGGAATCCACATTCAGCTAACGTGAACAGGGGAGGAGTGGGTTAAAGGGGGCGGAAAAAGGGGAGTGG